GTCTTTATTGGTTTTAGAAGTTAATTTTGGCCAGACACGGTGGCTCACACCTATAATCCCAGCACTTTGGGAGGCTGAGGCAGGTGGATCACAAGATCAGGAGATCAAGACCAACCTGGCTAACATGGTGAAACCCTGTCTCTACTAAAAATACAAAAAATTAGCCTCAAATGCACATCTTTGTAGAGGTTTGAGCTTTTAAGACTCAGGCACAATTCTCTAATCTTGGACAGGTCACCTCATCTCTTGTACCCTTGGCATTTTATCAAATGAGGGTTGTGGACTAGATTCTCCAGTTCCTTTCAGTTCATAACGTTCTATTTCCCGTCTCCTTTAATTTTCAGTGGCAACTCGATGCTGTAAATTCACTTTCAAATGTCAGTTGGGTTCCTTGCCAGTCAAAAGAGATCTAAGCTCTAATCTAAGACCAAACTTTTAGCAAAGTTGAGCACGAAAGGCGCTTTCAGCCTGAGGGAGAGGGGATCGTTGATGTCTTTGAGTATTTTCAAGTGTAAACTTGCACTAACTCTAGCAGTTTCTGATACATTTTCAGCAAGATGTGTGTGGTGTTTTTTGTTTTGTTATTTTTAGAAACAGGGCCGCTCTCTGTTGCGCAGGCTGGAGTGCTGTGGTGCTGCAATCAGAGTGGATGAAACTATAGGCACACACCACCATGCCTGGCTAGTTTAGTGTGTGGGGTTTTTTTTTGTCTGGCCTCAGCAAGATGTGTTTTAAAATTTAGTATCTTACCGGGTGCGGTGGCTCACACCTGCAATCCCAGCGCTTTGGGAGGCCAGGACGGGAGGATCACCTGAAGTCAGGAGTTCGAGACCAGCATGACCAACGTGGTGAAAACCAGTCTCTACTAAAAATACAAAATTAGCTGGGCATGATGACAGCATTGCTGTAATCCAGCCAGTCAGGACATGAGCACAGAATGACACGAATTTGATATATATGGTGGGCTGGATAGAGGTTGCATCGAACTAACGATACCTTCCAATATTATCATTGCCAATGGACTGATGGGCATGAAGAGGAGAAGCTATAGTGTACTATGTACTCATAAAGAATCTTATACTGTTATAAAATTATTATATAGTATCTGTTTTATAGAATATCGACAGACTTTATACTGTATTTATTCAGGGTATTCTTGGAACATTAACAATCTAAGTCTTGGGCCGATTTTGCTATTGTCGTTCTCCAGATCTAGGCAATAGTGGTGTTGAGGAGTGGACAATTAGGAATCTTCCTGGTATGATGACAAACTATCTAACAGTTACATGGTCTTAATTGTGATTGTATTCTGAATTGCAAGAGAACGTTTCTGGACTGGCTGATAAGTGGGGGTACAGGCGAACGATTTAAATAAAAGATTGTATCTGGCTGGTGGCCAGTAATTTTGTATTTTAGTAGGATGGTTTTCACACGTTTGGTATGCTTGGGGTCTCGAAGGGCTACGCCTGGTAAATCCTCCTGACATGGTCATTTGGTGGAGACCGCCATGCCCGTCCGCGCTCCAAAGGGTATCACAGATCAGGAGATCAGTGGGATATAGCTGCGAGGTTTAGAGTGTGACCCAAGCACCCCGGTAGATATAAAATTTTAAAACATCATTTGGGCTGGGTTGCACGGTAAAAATACAAACAACTTACGCCGGCTATAACTAGGTCCGAGGGGCAAACATTATAGGTCCAGGTATTCAGCGGAGGCTGGGGCGGAGAATGGGTGAACTGCGGGAGGCGGAGGTTCAGGAGCTGAAGATCGGTGGCACTGCACTCCAGCCTGAGGCGACGGAGGGACGTTTAAACTGAAACATATTACACCAACTTAGATGGTCAAGGCACCGAAGGCGAGCCGGTGGCTCACACCTTAACCCAGCCATTTTGGGAGGCTGAGACAGTGGATACCTGAGTCAGAGTTGAGGCTGAGGCACACCAACCGGCGGAGCACGAGGCGCTGTGTGCAAAAACTAGTATTCGAATACTACAAAATGAAAAAGTATAGGTTGTGGGTGTGGAATGTACGTGGTGACTCGTGTAGAGTGTATCATTTATAATGTCTCATGACAATGAACACATAGCCACTACTGCGAATTTCAACGATCCCCTCTGAGGCTGTCAAGGCGCTGAAAGCGCACTTTCGGCTTAACTTGCTTAAAAGTTTATGGGTTCTTAGATGAGCTTAGATTCTTTTGATGGAAGGAACCAACTTGACACTATAAAGGTGGTTTTACAGCATGCCGGTTGCCAACTGAGAACCCATCGCTCTTGGGAGAAACCCGGGGGGATTGAAAGAGGGGAGTGGCGCGAGAGGAGCACGCACTTCACTCCGAGTCTGGGGGCAGAAGAGAAATTTGTCTGCAACAAAAAAAAAAAAAAATGTATAGGCTACGGCACAAGTGAGCTACACATAATGCAGTCTTTGTAAGAGGTTGGGGTGGAGACAGATAGCTTGAGCCCATGAGTTGGGACCCCTGCGTAATGTAGTCAGAACCTCGCGGCTACAATAATAAAACAGTGGAACCCAGGGTTGGTGCAGAACAAGTAAGCTGTTAGGGAGGCTGAGGTAGGGAAGAGCGCTTGGAGCCCCCCTCAAAAAAAGAAAGATAATGTATGGTAATTTTTAAAGGCTATTGTTGAACCTTTATTGGCCATACCATGTAGCCACTTGTGGGTTTCCTGTTTGTATAATTAACAGGAGACCCTGAATTGGAGGATATGTTTGCTTCCTGTTTACAGATGAAAAACGAAGAAAATGGTTACATTAATGAGGATTCACAGTAAATGGGCTGATGAGGCGAGAATGAGGATTTATACTTGGGCTACTGACTAGCACCAACGAAGAAAAA